CTAGGAGTATAAATCTCCCCCTAAACTTCCTCCTGTCTATTGGTCCATAGCTTATAAGCTGATTTCACAGTATAAAGTCCTGACTTCTCTGCTCCCCAGATCCTTCGATCCTCTGCTGGTTGTCTAGGTATAGGGATTCGTAGAATTCTTTGTCTATCATCTGAATTGAAATGTGCTTGCAATAGAGGGAAATTCCATGATCTACTTTCCAAGTCCATCAACTCTCCAACCGACGTGGTCGGGGCAAATTGAGAAACAGGGGATTCCACTTTGTAGTTTGGTGCCGATGGAACCCATTTATCAAGCCATATATCGATTTTGTGACCATTTCCAAGTCTCCATCTCAACCCATGTTTGACCACTTCCTTAGCCTCAAGAATGCTCCTCCATATGTAGCTAGGATTGTATCCTACTTCCGCTTCCATTATATCTCTGTCTGGGTGGTACTTTGCTTTAAGAATCCTTGCCACCAGTGAAGAGGGGTTCTGAATGATATTCCATAGCTGTTTACCTAAGAGTGCAAGGTTGAAATCATGTAGATTTTTGAAACCTAGGCCTCCCTTGGACTGTGGCAGACATAGATTCTTCCAGCTTATCCAATGCATTATGCCATCGTCTCCCTGTTGTCCCCACCAGAAATTTGATATCAGACTCTGAATTTCCTTTGTAACTGCCATTGGAACCAAGAAAACTTGCATCACGTAATTCATTTGTGCTTGAGCCACCGCCTTGATCAACACTTCTTTACCTCCATAAGATAACAGCTTGCTTTTCCACATCTTAACCTTCCTTCGAACTCTGTCCACTAGGTAGCTGAAAACTGGTTTCTTTTGTCTTCCAATCACAGTGGGAAGTCCTAAATATTTAGGATGAAAATCGACCACCCTTATTCCCATTATATCCCCCAGCCTCTGTCTCTTATCAGCCTTAACATTTGGAGAAAAGGAAATCTCAGATTTCTCCAAGTTTATCTTTTGTCCACTTTCTGTTTCATATAGGTTCAGGATCGTCCTTAAATTTCCACATTCCTCTTCTGTGGCCTTTGAGAAAAGAACACTATCATCTGCAAAAAGCAGATGACTGATAGAGGGAGCCCCTCTTTTCACTCGAATTCCTTCTATCTTCTTTTCCCTTTCTGCTTGAGTCAAGAGTGCAGAAAGACCTTCTGCAATGAGTAAGAACAAATATGGCGAAATAGGATCTCCTTGCCTTAATCCACGAGTAGGAAAGAAAGTTGTGGTCTGGTGTCCATTTACTATGATCGAATAAGAGACTGTAGAGACACAATGCATAATCATTGCAACCCATTTTTCATGAAAACTTAGTCTCTTCATTACTGCTTGTAAAAAACTCCACTCGACTCTGTCATAAGCTTTGGAAATGTCCAGTTTTGCAGACATAAAACCCTTATTTCCTTGAGTTCTGCTCTTCATTGAATGGAAACATTCAAAAGCCACCACCACGTTGTCTGTGATTTGACGATCAGGCACAAAAGCACTCTGAAAATCTGTTATTACTTCATTTAAGATGCCCTTCAATCTGTTTGCCAAAACTTTAGAAAGAATCTTGTATAATACCTTGCACAGGCTGATAGGGCGGAAATCTGCTGGTGACTCCACTACTTTCTTCTTAGGAATGAGCGCAATTAAAGTGTGGTTGAGAGTTTGAGGGAAGACACCCTCAGTCAGATAGTGTTGGAGTTCCCTAGTCACGTCTGCTCCCACTATATCCCAGTTCTTCTGGAAAAACAAAGTTGTCATACCATCAGCTCCTGGGGCCTTGTTTGGTCCCATTTTCTTTAAAGCTGTCCAGATCTCCTCTTGTGTAAATGGTTTCAGCAGATCGTCATTCATTTCCTGGGTTACTTTCCTTGGTATTGCTCTCAATATGGCTTCTGATGGCACCCTGTTCCCTGCACAAAAGAGCAAACTAAAATAGTTAGTTAGACACCCCTCCACCTCCTCCTGTCCTTCCTTCACCTCTCCACCCTCTTCAACAAGTTTTCGTATAGTATTTCTATTCCTTCTGTCAGAGGCCTTTCTATGGAAATAATTCGTGTTCTTATCGCCTCCTTTCAACCAATCCACCCTCGACCTCTGCCTCCACATAAGTTCTTCCTGGATCAAGATTTCACTCAACTCTTTCTCCAACGCTTTCCTTTGAATCACTACCGCTGATGTGGAACGACTTTTACTCAGCTTGTCCAGTGCTTGTTCATCTTTGTGCTTCCGATATCTCAGATTTCCAAAGGTCAATCTACTCCAATTCCACAGTTTTCCTTCACATGACTGAATTTTTTCCATAACTGATATGCTATTACTATCATTCCAACCTTCAGCTACAATCTGCTTGCAATCTGAATGATCTTGCCAGAAGGGTTCAAATTTGAAACTCCAACCCCATTTTACTTCCTGATCCACAAGCTTTGTTTTCAGAAAAATTGGTGAATGATCTGAGCCACTTCTTCGCAGGTGATATACTCGAGCATGTGGGTACAGCTCTTGCCAGGTTGCAGTGGCTACCATTCTGTCAAGTCTCTCTTCTAAGTAAGTATCATCAGTATGGTTGTTTGCCCAAGTGAACGTTTTGCCATAGTAACCTAGGTCCTCCAAACTACAATCATATAGGGCCTCGTTGAACATGTCCATCTCCGCTGCATTTGGTAGATTCAATCCATTTTTTTCCTCGTAGCCCTGGATTAGGTTGAAATCCCCACACACCAACCAAGGCAAATCTGTCATATCCCTCAGATCTCGTAATAGGGCACACGTTAGGTGCTTGTTTTCCCGTTCAGGCCAACCATAGATTCCAGTCAATCTCCACTGATATTCACCATCCGTAACACAGGCATCGATATGATTTATAGATTTGGATTTTACCACCACCTGTACATCAGAGTTCCACAATAGCAGCAAACCACCCGCCCTCCTTGTTGAACCAACTCCCTTTCCTTTCTCCCAACCTAATTCTTTTTTCACTGCTTCCCATTCATGTTCTTGTTTTTTGGTTTCCATAAGGAAAGCAATCTTGGGGTTTTCTCTCCGGAGCAGTTGCCCCACTCTTCTAAATGCCAGGGGATTCCCCAACCCCCGGCAATTGTAGCTTAGGACATTCATTGGGCTGGGCGGTCTTGCTCAACGGCAAGATCCGCCTCTCCGCCAACCAGATTAGTCTGAGGAACTGAATTCTGTGGTGCTTCTTCTAACTCTTGACCCTTCTCTCAAAAAGGGTTTTTGATTTCTTTGCCATAGCTGCTGCCCTCTCTATATTGTCATCATTGCCTTCCTCAACTACTGACTCCAATGTTCTTTTCTGTGGGGTAACTTGTGGTGCAGGTCTGGCAACCCCTAGACTGGGGCGCCCTTGTTGTCTGTGCCAGCTCCTGGATTTTGCTGTCTTATCTTGCTGTTCATCCGCAACTCCCATCGAGAAAACCATGTCCTGGTCCTGAATCTTTGCCTTTGAGGACAAATTCTGCTTTTGCCCCCCTCCCAGACCTGTCTCATTCGAGACTGCAGAGGTATCTTCCTCGCTCTCTTTATTTTTTCTTGATACCCAGACTTCCTCAGCTGACCCCTTCCATGGTTTTTTCTCAAAACCCGAATTAGTTTTCCTAGGCACCTGTTCTTTTGCTATCTCCCTTTCTGCCCTTTGAAGCATCAAGCGCCTCTCCATTGCATTAATACCATCATAATTTCTTCTCCTGTTATGCTCTGCTTCTTCCAGTTGCATTCTAGCTGTTGTTGCTTCTCTGTCAAACTTTGCCCTTAGTGCCTGCCAGAGTTCTCCAGATTCTTCCTTCTCAAGCTTACTTTGCCACGGTTTTGTTTTAGATGGGATCATCCTTAGCTCAGGTCCAACCAAATCCTTACCATCAGGAGGTGGTTGAGGGCAATTTAGCTTAGGATGTCCTATCAAACCACAAGAGAAACAATACATAGGCAGCTTTTCATATTTAACATCATAAGTCTGTATCGTGCCTTTGAGATTCAGTTTCAGTTCTTGCCTTAGAGGAGTTCGGATATCCTTTCCCACTCTAATCCTCAGGACATCGTTCCAAGCATTCTCTCTTCGACTGTCGGTCCATATCAGAGTCCCAAACTTTGCCCCGATTTTATGAATCATCTCATTCGTTCTTAGAGCCGCTGGGAGATTATGTATTTGTATCCACACCTCCATTGTATACAAGTCTTCTGGTTTCGGCTGCTGAAAAGCATCTGCTTGCTTAAAAATGAGTAGGCTATTGTCAAAGTGCCACGGCCCTCCAAGGAGCACCCTGTCTCGATCACTTCTGTTCATAAACTGAAAACCAAATAGTTGATCCCCTGCTTCTGATATCTGGAAATTTTGTTGTAGATTCCAAGCCTTTGACAGTGCTAATTTCATTGATTTCAGGTTTGGTTTCTTGAGCGACACGAGTCTGCCAATTAGCCCTAATAGGTTCACAGCTTGGACCATAACCGAATCGATGTCTTCGTCTTCTACGACCACCACATCATCTTCTGCTAACCTAATCTTCTCTATCTGAGACTGGATACTCTGAGCTATGCTTTCCTGAACTTGTGCTTCACTCATCCCCTCCAGAGAGGAATCCTTCTCCCCTTCCCCGTTATTGTTGGGGTTTTCTTGTTCCATTGAAAAGTACTTATGAGCACCAGCGGAAAACGAAACAGAAAGAAAGAATAAAAGGTAGTAAAACAGATCTCTCCCTGACCCTAATCGCTTGAGGCAGATTAGGGTTTCAAAGAAAAACGAGACCCCAGGAGTTCTATCACACCCCTAGGAAACTCACTCAGGATTCAGTACCGCAGGAGGCTGATACCAAACCAAAAAGGCTCTCCGACGAGAAGAAAACGAATCAACGTCACTGGACAAGAGTCTTAAGACTAGAAAATAAGAAAACACAGCCGCCGGTTAACCCCTAAAGAGACAACCCTACGGCCGACACCGGAACCCTTGCTCCGAAACTCTCGCTAAACGAGAGAAAACCCTATCATTGGGTTGAGGCATTCCTTTCCTTTGCATCTGATTTCTCACTTCTTTTGGGCTTGACGGTGTAGTTTTCATTGTTTGTCTGTTTTCTTTTGGGCTTAGCCCACGTAGCTAGACAGTTGGCCATTGCATCTGTTTTCCCCGTCATCTTCTCAGATACTTGCTCACAGTGGCACTCTCATGCTGAGAAATTAGGAGCACGCACAGGCAGAGAGTAGAGGGATAGAATCCTGCTATAGACACAAGAGTTCAACATTAAAATGCACAGCTAAGGAAGGAAACTAGCTTATCACCGATCTCAGGTAGCCCTGATAGTTGCGACTAGTGTAAGGATCAGGCCGAATGTCTTCAGCTGGTTGGAAGATACGACGTCCCGCCTAAGAGGGTGAGTGATCATATGTAGATAAAACCTATGCAATCAGTACCTACAGAAATGTAACATTGCAGCAACTCTCAGTCTCAGACATGTTTAAAGAAAGAAAGAAAAAATGATTCAACAGACATATCTTTCCTGAATAAATACAACCCCATATCTACTGACCAGCGTCATGCATTTAACGTTCAGGACATCATCGAAGATTTCCTGGTTGCTCAAAAGTGAAAGCATGAGATCAGTGAACTAGTTATGGGACCCACACTACTAACACCGTCATCACAGATTGACAAATTGCACTCCTACACTACTAACACCGTCATCACAGCCAACAGATCATCTCTACATATTGAACCTTGTGCAACCACAGATGATTATGCTTCTCAATTGCTTCAAGCCAGATGGCTCATCTGCGCCATGAATCTTTCTGAAGATGTGCAGTGACTAGTGAGAGAAATCTAGCTCTTCCTTGGATTTCAGACCAGGAGGCCCTCAATCTTCCCAGAGATTTGGAGCACCAGTGGCAGTCAACTCTTCCAAGTTTCGCAGCTTTGACAGGGAAGATAGACTCCTTTATTGAGCCCAGGCAATGCAAAGCCAGTTGAACTAACTCCTCCATAGACTCGAGCCAATCCACCCTTGGTTCCATGTCATGTGGGCCTTAGCAATCCCCGAATCACTAAGATGAAATACACTGAGATGGGAGAACATTAACAGCTAAATCATACCACAGTAAATCTGCAGAAGGCGCTGCTTCTTGATACAAAGATCATATCGTAGAGAGTAGAGTACCACAGCATCTCATCGACAATTCATCGCCAAGGTCATGGAATGGTAATGATGTGAGAAAGGGGCAGTTTATTGTTCATAGATTTCTAACTTGTTAAAAGACAGAGAATTTCAAAACTGAGCAGACAAGTTAAACTCTGCATAAAACATTGAGTTTTTGCAACTATTTCATCCCTCAAAAACATTGGATTTCTGTAAGCCTATAGCAGAGAGATATATAAACCAATTAACTTGCTCAAAGAAGCCAGACTGTCAGGAAGGGGCATCACTTCATGGAAAACTCAAGTTCTCCAGAGCCCTGGAATGAGGAAAGTCAGTATCTAAGAACGTGGAATAGGATGAAGACTCGATGTTATCACACTACCTCAGTAGCAGAGGCGCAGTTACCACCATATCTTCACACTCGGCTCAAGTTCTCTTAGAGCAGATTGGTCAATTAAGTTCGTGCAACCACTGACAATCACAGTCTTCAATTTCTGTAAATCGGATAGCTCATCAGCCGGAAATCTTTCCAAAGATGTGCATCCGGTGAGATCTAGCCTTTCCAAGGATTTCAAACCAACAAGACCCGCAATCTCTTGCAGATTTGGAGCATTGGCAACCTTTAAATTTTTCAAGTTTCTCAGCTTTGACAGGGAAGGTAATCTTCTTATTGAGGCCAAGTCATACAATTGCAAGTCAACCAACTCTTCCATAGACTCCACCCCATCCAGCTCTACTCCCGTGTCAGCACTACAAATTCTCACACCACTTAGTTTCAACATGGTGAGACTCGGGAACATTAACATCTGAATCATCCGGCAGAATATCTGCAGCACCAGCGCTGTTCCATGGATGTCTAGCTCCTGTAAAGTGTCGAGTACCGCTGCTTGTGATCGGCATCCATCATCAATGCCATAGAATGTTAGTAATGTGAGAAGAGGGCAGTCACTTATCTTCAAAACTTTTAACTTGTTCAGAGACAGAAGAGTTTCAAATCCGATGAGACAGCTTAAACTCATTGCCTGATGAATGTGAAGCATTTGCAGTAATTCCAGCCCTCCAAGGCCTTGGATGTTTGTGAGACAAGGGCAGGAAGAGACGTAAAAATGGAGTAACTTGCTCATAGACGCCATGCTGGGCAGTCTTGTCAACGCATCACAACCTTTAAGTGACAAGGATTTCAAAGAATAGAGACTGCCAAGACCTTCCATATCGCACAGAGCTTTCAGATCACTTATACTAAAAGCTTCCAAGGATTTCAACCCTCCAAGCCCTAGGATCTCTCTGAGCAAGGGACAGCCAACGATGGATAAGGAAGACAAGTTCTCCAGATTCTCTAGATTGGGGAGCCACTCCAGTTTTGGACAATCTATAATGAGGAGGGTGGTTAGAGATGATGGAAGCAGATGCTGCACTTTTATGTTCTCAAATGGCATCATTCCAACGGCTCCACCTGTTATCTCTGTTACCCAACAACCCTCCAGATGCAACACTTTTAGGTTCTCAAATGGCATCATCCCAATGGCTCCAGCTCTAATGTTTCTCATTACCCAACAATTCTTCAGACGAAGGACTTTTAGGTTCCTCAGATTCCCAATATCCAGGTCCGTACGGACCCAGCATGGTGGACGGAAGAAGCTAGTCTCCACATCTAAAATCTCTAGACTCCCGGAACGAGAAAACTCGGGAAATTCGTCCAAGGAACCACACGAAAGTTTAAGAACTTTGAGCTTGCTCGCCATCTATATGCACACATTAAGGTAAAGTTGTAAGAAAAACATGTGCAACAGCCAGTCCGTAAGTACCAATCAAGAAACTCAACAAACACTTCATGTTAAGTTATTTAAGCGATAGTCCATACCTTGATATGCTTCAAAGCTCCAGACTCATCTCCCAGCCAGGTGAAGAGTTCAAGAATCACCAAATTTTCCATACTAAACTTAGGTATAGACAAAACTCCAATCGACAGCCGAAGCCATCTTAAATTTGGAACGTAATTACTGAAGTCATCTATGGGCATTTTAACACCTTGCATGTCCAAGTATCTCAACTCTGACAACTTCATGAAACATTCTTTCCTCCCAAGCTTCCCCTCAAAGTCATAACCATAGTGTAGCCTAATGCCCTCGACCTGCTTTGTTCCCTACAAAAAGGTAATAAATAAAAAATCCAATGACCAAAGGGATGAAAACAAACGATCCATCCCACAGAAGTTCATCATGTAGTTTTCACCTCCCCAAACTTAATAATAATAGTACTATTAGCTAAGTCCACTACACGTACAGGTTGGATTCTTTTTTTCTATTTCTCGTGTGAATTGGCACTTCCTCTATTTTGTGTTCCCCATCCAAATTGCTAAGAAAATACGGCAAGAGGCAATGAAGACAATAACAAGATACAGAAAAAGTCCACTAATATGCTAAATGGGGTATACTAGTAGCAATCTACCTAAACCAATAAAAAAAAAACACCTGCCTGATATCTACAATTGAGAGTATGCACGAATATTTTAGGGTTAATGATAATTTGATAAATTGAAAAGAAGGCTCTTTTGAAATATCAAAGTTGAGGATCCAAAATTAGGATTATATCTATAGATCATTTGGATGTATCTCCAGTGCACCTTGGATATACTTGTGGGTATCAGATACACAAATAAAAAATAAAGATCAAGAGAAATTCATGTGAAATATTGGGGAATTACCTTTCCGTTACGTAACATCTCCAAAGCGTTCTCCCTTGACCATATCCTACTTCTCTTCCATGGACGCGTTATGTTTTCTCTGCATACAATTTCCCTACCCATATCTCTGAGCTGATCATGCATTCGGAACGAATGTGTATTGTGATAATCATTGAACACAATGTCAATCATAGACCTTTGATTAAGAATATTGATATTCGTCGTTGGAAACAAGCCACAATCACTCCACATATAAGAAGCCATCTCTTTGTCCTCTCCAATGAAAAAGCAAGCAATATCTAAAAAGATTCGCTTCGCATCTTCACTTAATGCATCATAGCTTATCTTTAATCTTGCTACAACCTTCTCCTCTGGAATTTCTTTTAGCCTTCTCAATTTGTCTTTCCAAATCACTTCCTCCTCTTTAAATAAAAGTGACCCTACAACTTTAAGAGTCAATGGAAGTCCTGCTGCAACAGAGACAATATCCTTTGACAAAATCTCATAACTTGATGGAGGATAATCCATTTTGAAAGCATGTTTGCAGAAGAGTTGGAGTGAGTGTTGAGGACTCATTTCTACTACTCTATACAACTTGCAATCTTCAGTCCATATTCTTAATACTTTTACGTTTCTCGAAGTCATGATAAATCTATTCCCCGAAACAAAATTCTCAATTTTTCCTAACACCTCTTCAAATTCAAAGTTCTCGTCCACATCATCAAGAACAATAAGACATTTGAAACAAGAAATCCTATCTCTTATTATTCTGATACCTTCACTAATATTGGCAATGGACTCAACAAAATTCCTCCTCAAGATGTCTGAGACTAAATGCTTTTGCAAAGTGATAACACCATCTTTACTATGTAGCATTTCTCGTACGTTTTCCACAAAGCTACAACGATCAAATTGAGCAGATACTTTGTTAAAGACCGCCTTGGCAATAGTGGTCTTACCAATACCACCAATACCATGAATTCCGACAATTGACACACCTCCGGAGCCTAGCGTCATTATTTCTTTTACTGCTTTTATGTCGGCATCAATTCCAATCAACTTATCAATCTCTAACACATTATTTTTCTTACTTAGATGTGACAACACAATGCCAGTAACAAGATCTGCTATAGCCCCCTGCCTGGAAAAAATATCATTTCCAATTATATCAAACAGGGGACAAGTCGTTAAAGTGATTCACAATTTGATAATAAGGAATTTGGTAAGCTATAAAATAAAAGGAAACAGCGGCGGTGAGAGTGAGGTAACTTACTCGTTACTGCTTTCGGCATGCCATCCCTTCAGAGATCCAACCCTATTCAGAGCATCTTTCCAAACCTCTATTGTCTCTTGGTCAAAATTCTTCTCGTGCTTTTCAAATGCATTCTGATATGGCCCACTTTGATTTCGGACGTCTTTTGGATCCACCATGTAAAAAATGGGAAGAATGGTGCAACACTTGTCATGCTCCAGACGTTTGACAATGGCAGCAAGCTCTCTGAGGCACCATTTGCTATAAGCATAATTCTCAGAGAAGATGGTAACATATATCTTGGATTGCTCGATAGCCTTTGCAAGACTGGGCCATATCCCTTCCCCGTTACGGAGCTCATCGTCATCCTTGAACGTGCGAATTTTCAAGTTTACGAGAAACCGATACAGGATATCAGTGATCTGATAACGAGTGTCTTGACCTCTGTAATTCAAAAACACCTCGTACTCTCCCCATGGCGGGGACTGGAGACTAGAATTTGCAGAGGGTGGAGCAGAAGCAGAAGCAGCAACATCCCAGTGTGGTGAAGAGGCATAATCAACAGTATTTGATTTTTGTCTCTTGTTTTTTTCAAACCAATCATTATCAATACTAGTTGAGGAGCCATGGTTCCTATCAGCCGACCGCATCTTTGTATAGGAGAACCTGTAGTTGAGGAGCCATGGTTTTCTATTAATACAACAACAACAACAACAACAAAAATAGGAACCCGAACTGGCAGCCATGATACAATCAAGGACTCGCAAGTCGCAAGTAGAATAAGAAGAACGAGAACTGAAATTATGAATTTGAAATAGTTAAAGCATGAAAACGATTAAGTTCAAGAATCGGAGGGCGGGAACAAGGATTGATTGAATACAGCATAACAAACACGCCATAGAGCAGAGGAAGGTAAAGAGATAGCGAGAGAGTCTTACAGGCGTTTTCGCTGAAGGCGACCGCTACAGGGAAAGACGAGAATTCAGAGGAGAGAAAGAGACGTTTCCGGCTATCGGCTGATTCTGCGAATTTTGGAAATGGAAGGGAGGAGGTAGAAACCGACGACGAGGAGTTGGGGTTGGTGGCGCGAAGACTTGGGGGAACAGGAGGAGTATGGTTTCCCATTATTATCATACTGCAAAAACAGATTCGGTGGTTAGTTATCTATTGCAGAAATGACTATAACTGCACAGCTACGAAACCACAAGCAAAGGACGACTAATTTAGCTTAGGTTAACTGAAGTGGTTTAAAAAATTGCAGTAACATAACGCACCAGTTGCAGCAGATTTCGCAGAGACTCTTGAGGGAAGATGCGATCAAAATATTCGGAAATGGAGAAGAGATGAAGAAGGGATCGGCAGAGCTGCCGGCACCTAGTAGATTCCACATTCCAGTATTCCACATGGGCCTGCGTTGCCCTTCGTCACCCTTTTCTTTTGGGCCAAACGGTTTAGCTACTAGCTGTGCTTGTTCGTCTGTTTAGCGTTTACTTTGTTTACCGGACTTGACCCGCGTAGGTAGAGTAGACAGTTGGCCATGTAATAGAACGAGGGGTGTTTTTCACTCGTCTACTCTGTTATGAGAGAACTAAAATTACACGTCCAAGGCAGTCTCAGTCCATACAGATTACAGACAACGTTATGCATTCTTCCATACGGGAATAAAGGGCAACTGAGCAAATAGGTCAACTCACTCAACAGAACAGCGCATCGCTCTTCGCTATTGACATTGTACACTCAGCTGCACCAAAGTCTTCTCCGTGACTGCTTCCGTCTGCAGTACAATACTATAAGATTCTCTCTGGTCACCTCATCATCTAATGGCAACCGGTTGATAGCAAAGTCGAAAACATCAAAGTGCAGCAAAACAAAACTTGTGTAATCGTCTCATCCATCAACAGAAACCCATCAAAATAGATGGTGCTGCAGATAAAATTTGGACAGGAAACAGACACATTCTGTAACAACGACATGCTGCTGGATATCATAATCACAGACAGTTTGCGAGCGTCACCCAGAAATCACTTGAAAGCAAAATGATATTTTTCAATTAAGCCAAAACAGCAAGGTAATATAATGGAAAACCAAGAAAGCTTGAAAATACAACAGGAAGGACATGCAGGACAAAGCATGTTTCCTCTCCTAGGACATACATTTCCACTTAAAAATTCAGCAGAAAGGTAACAGGGGACAACAATTGAATGTTTATGATAGGAACTGTGCGCACTTGCACTCTCTTCGGAACATACAAGCACAACACCGTAAGCAGGAGACTGAGCAAGAATCTGCCTAGGATATATTTGTAACTTTCATTATGTCTGAAACATGCGAAGGGCAAGCCAACCCTTGCCAGCACCAGTTTAGCCTCTTAATCAATGAAATGAGTTTCAACCGCCATACGAAGTAAACGATATTCTCAATTAATCGGGACAGGAGCAGACAGTTTACCTGCCAAGAACTGATTTCTAAAATTAAGGACTGGGACCTTCCATAATAAACGAAAAGATATACAATTGCATGTTCATGACAGGAGCCAAGTTAATGCAAACTTACATTCTTGCTGTGTTTGAAATTGGAAAATCACCAACCAGTGAACACTCATTCCTGCTAGAACCTTTAAGGATTTACTACTTGAAAGGGCAACACAAGAATATTACATCTACCTGATCAGCAACATGTACAATTTACCACTATGAGAGAACAAGCCTCATGTACCAACATCCCAATCCAGCAGTACCTTCTATTTCTCTCAACTCAAGCATCCTCGTCGTGTCCAGTGCATTCAAAAGGAAGAAGGGAACTGACACGATTTTTCAGTAGGACCCATCACAATCTGAATCTTCAATCAAGAAGCACGATTTTTCTTGCCATAATAATATACTGCAACAAACTGAATCTCCAATAAAGGAACACATTCCCAATCGATGTATCAAAAAGGCGAAAGGACAACCATAATCTTTTTTTTTTTTTTTTTTGTAAGAAGGACAACCATAGTCTTTAACAATACCCGATTTGAACTTAGGTAGCTTGTCCGTACCATAATCTTCCGGGACATTCTCATTATGAGATGTGAATTGCAAGTTCAGATGGGAAGCACCATGCGATTTCATAGCTGTAGATGCTGTAAATAATAATATATTGAAAAATAACCATTAACATTGCTTTCTGCAGGAGTACTCCTAAATATGGAGTCATGAGATTTCAACAAAAAACAAGACTTACTGCAATGAAGAGAGGGCAGTTCAGGAACTAAGCAAGACTCACGCTTCAACCCAAATTTTCACACAAGGCAACCAAGGCTAAGTGCTACAGTCCATCCGAACCTTCTCATTCTGGCCGAAGGAATAACTACAACTGTGACCATTAGAAAGCGAAAAAGCAATCCAGAGCAAGCAATAATGACTCACCAGTTGAGAATCTGATGGAAGACTTGATCAAGAATGAGAAATTTGTCACTTGACTATAGCACCGAAACATTAGTTGCCAAGGATTCTGTTATAAGCACAAGGAGGAAGAAATAGTGTCATAATAGGGCATCAAAGAATGATGCCAATCGTCCAACTCATACTCCACCTAAACTGCTCGCAATAGACTAGGGTCAAGTCAGCATCTATCATTCTGTCATGGAAACATGACCGAGCATTCTCCTAGGACGCATATCTGGTTGATCCATTGTTAAATGTGGCCATCCTCTTTGAGTGCCCACCTAGTGGATGAGTCACTTTCTATTAAAATGCAGAAGTATGGAACCTGAACTGAATAAAGATAATCAACAGAGAACCAACTGAAGTTGGAAAGCTTAAATACTTTTCTCGCTCAACAGTGCGGTAGCAATCGTAACCAAGATACTCTCGAGGACTCCATGAAGGACCAAAATTAGAGCAGAGGGCAGCTGCAGTAAGTATACTATTGAGTACTCATGCCAATATTAAACATAACAGACGGTATTTTCTCAGTATTCTAGTTTGAACTTAAGATGGAGCAAAGAAGCCTCTGATTACTATCGTTTCAAGGTAACGAACAAAGGGAAGTATTTCTAGTAGTCTAGTTAGATCATTCAAAAGTTCCTCCCTAAGACTCAGATTTAGGACTTTCGATATTGTCATGATTGAACTTGAGATGGAGCATAGGGGCAACTGATCATGATCATCTCAAAGTAACACACAAATGGACCCAACATTTTGATAAACCAGAACCTGACACAATGGACAATATTTTTCTTAGTATTTTGTGAAATCATTCAAAAGTTGCACTCTAGGTTTCCAATTAGGACTTCCACTAACAAAATTAGGACTTCCACTAACAAACTGCCATTGAACTTGAGTTGGTGCAGAAGGGACAACAGTTAATGTCATAACAGAACAACACACAACGGGTTATAACAATCAGAGCAGCAACTTCGTCTCTCATAAACACAGAACTTGTGTCTTAACAAGATAGAGGATAAGAGCAGCCAGAATTATTAAATGATCGCTGAGAATGCGCGTACTCAAACATGGCCAGTAAAGATTCCAAAGTTCACATCTAGGACTCTACTTAGGAAATTCAGCAAGTATGATAAAGTAGAAGGGCAACTGGAAGGATTAGAGATAATTTCAGGAACCAAAGAGGATTAAAGGAACCAGAACGAGGGCTGGAACGAAAAAATTGGAATAGTTAAATCACAAATATAGTATAACACGCCGTAGAGCATAGAAGGATACATAATCTGCAGAACCAGAAGAAGCAGCAGTCGAATCCCAATTATGGAAAATTATAGCCCTGAGTCCCTGACAGAGTGAGACAGAGAGAGTACTTAGTGCTCCTTTCGTCATAAGGGGGAAACTGGTCAAACTGACCAAGAGCGTACTAAATGGTTAAAATATAAAAAACAAGTCCCCAAACTTCTTCAATATGTACTAAACTATCACCCAGTCGAACTTCCTCTTCTTCAAAATGTAAGACTAGTAACTAGAGTACAGAGACAAGGACGAGAGTGGCAGGTGACAGCAACACCACGCTATCCTTCCACTTCTAATCAACTCCATCTTATATATTCCACATTTCTCCCGAAAAATCATACAGATAGCTTCTGTCAAAACCAAAAAGAAAAGATCTGCCTGATTGAATTTCCAACGAAACACCATTTACTCATATGTGACATCTATACCATCAACAAACAACCAAGCCAATATAACCAAGCTGTCATATTACTGATGAAATTACCATCCAAAACCCTCAACTCAAGCCTTGCAGAATATCGCATCCCATTTCTTCACCTCTTGTTCTGGGAGTTCTAGTTGTTGACACTTGACAATATACCAACAAGAAATCAGAGTCCTCAATTTGCTAACAAGAATCTTAGTTGTACCTCACTCTGGTATTCAGACTGCATAAGTCATTTTTAGTTTCTGCTGAGGAAAGAAGAAATCCTTGAAGGCTAACGTTTCTATTAAAAATCTATTTGTCAAAGATCTCAGTATGAATATCAAACGCAAACAAAAAGGTGCAGCAAACAAACAAGATTTAGAGCATTGACATGACCACCCGTCCATGTATATCTCGGTTTGTATCTTGGCTAGGACCCCATTTATACCTTTTTCTTCACAAGATAGAGCAGAGGGACACAATATTTAGAGCAACAACATGGACACCAGTCCATGTATTTCAGTTGAAAAAGTTCCCTTCTAGGACTCCATATAAGACTTGGTGTCCATAGGATAGAGCAGAAGGGCAACTGGAATGATTAAATAATTGCTGGCATTTCGGACATACAACATTGTTACTCAAACATGGCCACCAATCCATGTACTTCTCAGCCAGTATTCAATCATTCCAAAGTTCCCATCTAGGACTCTAGTTAAGACATTCACTAATATGATAGAGCATAAGGGGAGCTGGGATGGTTAGGGACAAATTCAATTATAGGAAAAATAGGACACAACTAGAGCAGAAGGGCAACTGGAATGATTAAATAATTGCTGGCATTTCGGACATACAACATTGTTACTCAAACATGGCCACCAATCCATGTACTTTCTCAGCCTGTATCTAATCATTCCAAAGTTCCCATCTAGGACTCTAGTTAAGGCATTCACTGAATATGATAGAGAAGAAGGGAAGCTGGAATGGTTAGGGACAACTTCAATTATAGGAAAAATGGGACACAACTTGCGGGACAACTTTCTTTCTCAAACATGGCCTCCAATCCATGCATGTACTTGGTTTCTATTAACCATTCCAAAGCTCCCATCTAGGACTCCATCCAGAAAAGGACAGAGCAGAAAGGTAACTATAGTTGCTAAATTTTCATCGCCTCAACTTAGACCAAGATGGCAACAGACATTTGTGGGTCACCAGACTACAACAGAACAAGAGGAGGCCACTGATCGAATGAACACTGCAGAGTTCATATTCACTTTATCTCTTACAATAGGCAGAACTTGAATGAAACGATTTAATATGTGCGGAAATATAGGGCAACCAGGTGGCAACGAAACAACCAAACATGCATAATCAGGCATCATCAACCAATAAGAATATTATATTAGTCTAATACAACAAAAGATAGTTATGCAGCTAATGCATCGATAAGCAGATTAGGGCGCAACTCTGAGATTTTCCATCCGGATTTAAAGAGTCTAGGCAACAGAGAAGAGACATAAGGAATTATACCAGAGAAATTATTTCACCTCCAAGCGACAAAACGACAACATGGACCACCCCACTCATGTAATATATCCTCAACGAGCGCATGATCATGGCTGCACTCAGAAGCTGAAAGAACAGCGCGGTCAAAATCAGAGCTCCTTCTGTGTAATTCATTACTTGTGTCAGGCAAAGTCTTCGTCGAGGAAGCTAACATCAAATTAGGGTGAGGAAGAATTGGATTCTGCTTATTGATTTTATCTACCGGACTTACAGGCTTCTACTTTGACGGCAACACTCCGGCGGCGAGGCGAAAAGGTTCATCAATCGCTTCAGAGATCAGAACTTCAGTGACAGAAACGCGAGACCACCACAAGTACAACCGACGAGGGGAAGAAACGGGGTAGAGTTTGTGGGCCGTGGCTGAGAGGTCTTAATGGACTGGCCCATCTCTGCCTGGCTAGTCCATTAAATATGTGGGCTGAGACAGGCTTCTCCTAGAGCCCATTCAAGCATCAAGAACTGAGCCGAAGATAATAAAGAACAGAAGCAGGTAGCTGATGCATTTGCATTCAACATGAAGGCATAATAGTTTAGAACAAGGTTGTCAACCCGCGGGTTGACCCACGGGTCGACCCAATTTGACCCAGACCCGGTGAGAAAAACGGGCCGCACGCACCCGTCGGGCCGATCGCTATAAGGTATCGGGTTGGAGGTCAAATTGTGTCATTTTTTTCTTTAGTTTGCGAACTACGCCTATTTTCCAATTTTTCTTTTCGCCTAACTCAATCTTTGGAATACTAAGTTGAACATTTGAATATTTATGTTATATAAGTGTGTGTGAATTTTCACTATATGTTGGATCTAAGTACGATATGTTATTTTGGTGTAATATTATATGTTATAACTCATATGTTAGATAAGATTTTATATAATTTATGAGGATAAGTACAACATAATGACTCTTTCTATATTTCCGGGTCAAACCGGGCTAAAATGGTTGACCCATTAACCCTTGACCCACTAGCTCGACCGGGTCCGGGTCAACCCGCGGGTTGACAACCTTGGTTTAGAACATTGCACTACATGAAAGTTCATTCTTTGCTGGGTTTGAGAGCATAAGAAGGCCAACAGCAATAACAGGTCTATCGAAAACGGTATCTATCATAAATAAATAGTGGTAAGATGTAATAAGGATCTGTATTTTTTTTAGTTCTTCCCACACAAGACCAGATGAAAGGGAATGGCTTTGGTGAGGCAAAGATCCAACATAAGCTTTACGTGTTCACAGTCACGTTATAACATCAGAGCACATTCCTTAATAGCATAGTATAACTGAGGAATGAATAAAATTTCATTACAGAAGGAAGGCAGCAGTGGACAGCATTACCTCCTTCCAATGGGAATGCACAACCGACTTTCCAAGTTTGTGAATGCAACTGATCTTAAAATGCAACTTCAGGACATCAGCGGAAAGAATCCATGAAGTAGATGCATATGTAATCGATCAGGTTCAGCTCACTACTTTCTCTCAACTCCAAGGTACTACTAGCAACAATTTACACTTCCAGCACAATGTGACAGATAGGATACCATCAATACTTTCATTTCAGCATTTCTAAGGAAATAAAAACGAACAACAAGAGTAGCACAGCATAATCAACATCCTGGATTGTGCAAGAAGATCCCACAAAAGAACAAAACTTATCAGAGGTAGGGTTATCCTAATCTTCCAAAACATGCTCCAAGTGAAGTATGAATTCAAGAACCAGATGGTACTGCTGGAAAATTCTGAAGGACCGAAAAAGGTGTTGTTTTTCTGCAAGATCCTTTCTTTTCTACTTTGCAACAACAGGCTGCTCGGCATCATAATCACTGACAGTAGGCGTACATCACTTGGACATCATGAAGAGAACTGGAAATTGAATTCCTAGCTCCACCTGAATTTTCCACCTGGACTTGTAATGAACTTGCATGTTTCAACCAAGCCAAACCCAACCATTTAAGCAGGATCGCTTATAAGACCCCCTCTTAAGTGTCTCCCGGTGAGAATCCAGCAGCAAGCAAATATGTTTTGAAGGTGTGAATGCTTAGACCAGAAATGACCAGAAAGCAAGATGTTTCCCTTCAATAGTGTCAAAACAATATGCATGTACAAATCCAGCATAATAGTTACCCCGGGGACACCGAGTGAATGTTTAGGATAGGAACCTTGTGAGCCTGCATTCTGTTTGGAAGAGCAATGTCCCTCCAGCTTATAACTTCTGGCTTGCATTATTATGTAAGAAAGAGGCAAAAACAGTCTAGCTAAATGGCTTCTATCCACAACCCTTTCCAAGTATCTTTCTAGTCTCAAGATATCAATCAAACAAATGAGTTTCGGTCCACAGATGAAGCAAAAGACTTATATTAATCAGTCGAGTCATGAGAAGATAGATTTCCCTCCCAAGAACTTATTTATGAGAGTATTAAGATACGAAAAGAAATGCAATTGAATGTTCATGACAGGAACCAAATTACTGCAAACTTACATTCTTCTTGTGTTTGAAATCGGAAAATCATCAACCAGTGAAGACTATTCCTTGCTAGGACCCTTCTTAAGGATTTACTGATTCAAAAGTTAGTATTAAACAAGAGATTTCTTTTGTCCCATCAACATGTACAATTTGAAACTACTGGAGAATAATGAATCCCAGCCAAAGCCTCGTGGTACAACCAAGGAACATCCTAATCCATTACCTTTTACTTTCACTTAAGCATACTGATGATATACCCCGATTCTGAAGGCAGAAAGCCAACACTGGCAAGATTACATGGTCATAATCTGAATCTTCAAATAAGACAAATAAGTAAGAAAAGCTTCCCTTTTGTGCCTTCCTATTAATAATTTACTGCAACACCAAATCCCCAAGAAAGGAACCGGTATAAATTCAAACCAACATATTTCAAACTGATGTGTCAAAAAGGCAAAAGAACAACCAGACTGAGCATCCTAATCCATTACCTTTTACTTTCACTTAAGCATCCTGATGATATACCCCGATTCTGAAGGCAGAAAGCCAACACTGGCAAGATTACATGGTCATAATCTGAATCTTCAAATAAGACAAATAAGTAAGAAAAGCTTCCCTTTTGTGCCTTCCTATTAATAATTTACTGCAACACCAAATCCCCAAGAAAGGAACCGGTATAAATTCAAACCAACATATTTCAAACTGATGTGTCAAAAAGGCAAAAGAACAACCAGACTGATCAGCCTTTTACTTTCAGATCTGATTTAATTTTTGCTCGCTTGTCACAACCATAATCTTTAAGCAGACAGTATAAAAGTCACATTTCCAAGACCTTCCAGTAATAACTTGCATTCACAAGTCAAATATCAAAGTTCAAATCGAAAGCCATGCAAACGTGCAACCTTTAGTTCATTACAGTAGTTGCAAATAATATCATCTTAAATAACATGAAAAGGGACACAAGACTTAGAGCAATAACATGACCACCAGTCCAAGTATCAATCGGTTAGTATCTCGGCTAGGATCCCAAATTATGACCATTTCTTCACCAGATAGAGCAGAGGGACACAGTATTTAGAGCAACAAATGGCCACCATTCCATGTATATTCAGTTGGAAACACCAACTCCAAAGTTCCCTTCTAGGACTCCATATAAGACTTGGTCTTCACAGGATAGAGCAGAAGGCAAACTGGAATGATTAAATAATTGCTGGAATTTCGGACATACAACATTGTTACTCAAACATGGCCACCAATCCATGTACTTTCTCACCAGTATTCAATCATTCTAAAGTTCCCATCTAGGACTCTAGTTAAGGGCATTCACTGAATAGGATATAGCAGAAGGCCAGCTGGAATGGTTAGGGACAACTTCAATTATAGGAAAAATGGGACACAACTAGAGCAGAAGGGCAACTGGAATGATTAAATTATTGCTGGCATTTCGGACATACAACATTGTTATTCAAACATGGCCACCAATTCATGTACTTTCTCAGCCAGTATTTAATCATTCCAAAGTTCCCATCTAGGACTCTAGTTAAGGCATTCACTGAATAGGATAGAGCAGAAGGGCAGCTGGAATGGTTAGGGACAACTTCAATTATAGGAAAAATGGGACAATTTGCGGAACAACTTTGTTTCTCAAACATGGCCTCCAATCCATGCATGTACTTGGTTTCTATTAACCATTCCAAAACTCCCATCTAGGACTCCATTAAAAAGGATAGAGCAGAAAAGGTAACTATAGTCGCTAAACCATCGCTTCAACTTAGACCAAGATGGCAACAGATATTTGTGGGTCACCGGACTACAAACGGAACACGAGGAGGCCACTGATTGAATGAACATTGCAGATTTCAGATTTACTTTTATCTATTACAATTGGCAGAACTTGAATGAAACAATTTAATAAGTGCAGAAATATAGGAAAACTAGGTGGCAATGGACACAACCGAGCAGGCATCATCCACCAAGAATAATACAGCAAAAGATAGTTATCGCAACTAGTGCTTTGATAAACAAATTAAGGCGCAACTCTTGAGATTTTCCATCCGGATAAAAAAGTCTAGGCAACAGAGAAGGGACATAAGGAAGTATACCAGAGGAAACGATTTCACCTCCAAGCGACAATACGACAACATGGACCGCCCACTCATGTAATATATCATAGTCATGAAAACACTTGCCCTTCTCGACATAAATGTATACCCAAAAGACTCGCAAGGTTATATCCACAACGAGCGCACGATCATGGCTGCACCCACCCTAACTGGCCTGAACAATGAAAAAACCCTAACCATCGACTTTGTTACTGTCAAAGAAACCAACAAACATACCGTACATAAAAATCGCACCACCGATTACCCGCGTTCCCATCAACTTTTGCATATCCCTGAATGGATCCACAACTCGTGTATCTTAAAACCATCAGAATTAGGGCTCACGAAGCAAATAAATTGCAGATTCATTATCCTTTTACCCGCAAGCCATCAATAACACCTCAACCCAAACCAATTCACCCGAAAGAATTGCATCCACGCCAAAAAAGTTCACCAAACCAACTCTCAGAAGTATCATATCACCTAGTGCCACAAACAAATGGAACCATTCGAATCGTCTGATTTGAAAACCATAAAGAGAACTAGGGAATAAATGAAACTTACCCAGATGTAATTGGAGTGAACGCTTACCTATCCGGAATAGTGGAAGAATGTTAGGACCAACCAGCAAGAATAGTTGCTTCGGTCGAGAAGGGCATAGTATCAGCACTTGGTCATGGCATCTTCAGCTTTCATGGCCACAATCACTAATGGTTCACTGCCATGTTATAAACATCAGAGCAGGTTCCTTTATCGTGAATGATGAGCTCTCTAACAAGCAATCACGTCATTGTATAACAGGAAATAAATGGACGACAAAGCATAAGCACATAAGGATTCAACATCTTGGAGTCTGCAGGAAAGAACAACAGAGGAAAGAAACTTATCAGAGGTAGGGTTACTTTGACCTTTCAAACTCCAATTGAGAAATTAGTTGAAGAAATAGATGTTGCAGCACTTATAATTTGAAATACGGAAACAGAGTTGTTCTTTAATAACGACAGGCTGCTAGATACCATAATCACCAATAGTTCGCGGGCATCACTCAGACATCTTACCCTACTGGAAATAGAATTTTTATGTCCATCTGAATTGTCACCCACCCTTGTCATGAATTTGCATATTTCATCCAAGCTGAACCCAGCCATTTAAGAATGATTGCTTCGAGGAACCTCTGAAGAGTTTCCTGCCAAGACTCCAACAAACAAATATAATATTCTCACTGTGTTTGAAATTGGAAAATTCCCAACTAGTAAACGCTCATTCCTGCCAGGACCCTTAAGCATTTACTGCATCAAAGGGCAGCATTAAACCAAGTGAGTGCATAATACAATTTGCCACAATTAGAAAACAATTGAGTTCCTTCCAAAGCCACATTTACCAATGACATACCAATCATGAGGTATTTTCTTGCTTGATATATAATGCAACATACACAGATCGTAACAAAGATTCTCGCAAGTTCTCCATGAAGGACTTAAAAAGTCTACACAGTACTTCACAAAACTGGAGAGGGCAGCTGCAGCAAGTGCACTGTTGAGTACTCATGTCGATCTTAAAATATAAGAAACATTATATTCTCCATATTCTTGTTAGATCATTCAAAAGTTAGACTCTAAGACAATTTAGGACTTTCAGTACTGTCTTGATTGAAATTTGAGATGGAGCAGAGGGGCAACCAATTAGATCTTCTCAAAGTAGCGCCCAAAGGGACACAACAGTTTGGTAAACCAGGAGCTGACACAATGAACAATATTTCTTAGTAATTTTAAACATAAAGGACAATCTTCTAGTATTCTTGTTAGATCATTAAAGTTCCTCTCCAGGGCTACGACTTAAGGACTTCTGTTATTGTCATGATTGAACTTAAGATGGAGCAGAGGGGGCAGCAACTGATTTTAATCATCCCAAAGTAAAAAAGGAACACAACATTTTGAATACCAGACCCTGACATAATGGACAATATTTTTCTTAGTATTTTGTTAAATCATGCAAAAGATGCTCTCTAGGATTCCAGTTAGGACTTCAGCTAACAAACTGTCACTGCACTTGAGATGGTTCAGAAGGCCAGTTAACAATCAGAGAAACAACCTCCCATCTGAAACATAAATATAGAACTCAATTTATGACTTTGTCTTGACAAGATAGAGCATGAGGCTAACCCAAATGATTAAATAAGCGCTTGGACAGACAACGTTCTTACTCAAACATAACTACCAATCCATATATTTTATCAGTTAGTATATCATTTCAAAGTTCCCATCTATGACTCAAGTTAGGAATTCAGTGAGTATGATAGAGCATAAGGGAAACTGGAATAATTAGAGATAATTTCAATTGAAGGAACAACAGGACACAACTCTCTGACCAGGTTTCTTTCTCTAACATGATCACCATTCCATGTTACAAGTTAGGAACTCAGTGAGTATGATAGAGCATAAGGTAAACTGGAATAATTAGAGATAATTTCAATTGAAACAACAGGATGTACTCTCGGACCAGGTTCCTTTCTCTAACATGATCACCATTCCATGTTACAAGTTGAGTCCCATCCATGACTCTAATTGGAACATTCAGAGTAGGATAGAGCAGAAGGGCAACTAGATTAGAGAAATTTTCAATTGCAGGAACAAAAAATGACACAACCTTCGGAGTAGCTTCCTTTCTCTAACATGATCACCATTCCATGTTATAAGTGGAGTCCCACCCATGACTCTAATTGGGGCATTCAGAATAGGAAAGAGCAGAAGGGCAACTGGAATGATTCGAGATTATTACAATTGTAGGAAAAACAGAACAACTTTCCTACCAACTTCCTTTCCCAACCTATTTCAGTTAATCATTCCAAAGCTTCCCTCTAGAACTCTTATTTATAATTTCCACTTAAGAAGATAGAGTAAAAGTACAACTTCAGTGATTGAAATAGTAGCTTCAACAGAAGCCAACATGGCCACAGAACCATTTGTGGGTCACCAGATTAAGATGGGGTGAACGAGGTGAATGAGGATTAAATGAAACAACTCAGAGTTCGAATTTATTTTATCTATTGGACAAGCAGCAAGAGATTTTATGCAGTTTGCAGAACTTGAATGAAGCAATTTAATAATAGCAAAAGATGGGCAACCAGAGGGCAATAATCGGACATCCATAATTGGCTACTTTAACAAAAATATCCATTCACAATTCACATGTTATTTCAGCAAGTGCATTGATGAGAAAATCAAGGCAATCCAAAGATCGGCCATCCTGATCCAAAATTCTAAGCAACAAAGAAGGGACACTAGGAACTATACTGTAGCAAGGACCTCTCCACCAAGTTACAAACCATCGACATAGACCTCCAACCTTTCAGACATATATGTACAGCAAAATAAATGAAGGGAGTCTACCAAAGAATCTGCATAATACCAACACAGTCAACTGACCATAAAATCAAACATGCCATCTTCTCATCGGGAAATATCACCAAAATTCCATTACAGGGATTCAACTAGAGCTTTTAACATGGAAAAGAAACGTGGGTTCCATAAGCTTGCAACAGGGACGAAGGTCATCTATCAAATAAGGATGAACGATCATAGGGCAAGTAATACCACCAGAAAACACATATTATATTCTGCTTCCAAAGTCGAATCATCATGAACACCCTATCATGACTCGTGAGTTTCAGCTCTTCACCACATAATCAGAGGACCCAAAGTCATATCAACAGCTTCATTTATAGACCAACAAGATGGTTCGCTCAACATATGCAGCAACATACACAGTCTTTTAACAACCATAACCAAGAGGACTGTAGGACTTAAGTCTACACAATACCACCAAAAAGTGGAACAGAGGGCGGCTGCAGTAAGTAAAATACTATTCATGAATTTCAATTTGAGAAAGAGCAACAACAATTAATGAGTAACAGACTTTCTAGTATACTTGTGATCTTTTCAGATCATTAAAAGTTACCCTCTAGGACTCCGATTTAGGACTTCCATTTAACCAAATAATCTCATTACCGAACTTCAGATGGAGCAGAGGGGCAGCTGATTATGATCATGATCATCACCAAGTAATGCAAGAAGGGGCACAACATTTGATTAACCGAACCATGGCATAATATAGAGTTATTCCATAACAGTATACTTGTAAGATCATTAGAAAGTTCCCCTCTCGGACTCCGATTTAGGACTTCCAGATAACAAAATACTTTCATGATTGTATTGAACTTGAGATGGAGCAGAGGGGCAACTGATTATGATCATCTCGAAGGAAACCACAAAGGGACACAACATGATCAACTAAAATCTTACATAATGGACAGTATTTCCATAGTTTTCTTATTAATCATTGGAAATGTTCCCCTCTAGGACTCCTACTAGTTCTTTCAGTTAACGAACAGTCATGACCATCTCAAAATACCACAGGAAGGGACACAACATTTTAGAGTAACAACATGTCCAGCAGTCCATGTATACCTCGTTCGGTACTCACTTCAAAGTTCCCTTCTATGACTCCATTTATGACTTTGTCCACAAGATAGAGCAGAAGGGCAACTGGAATGATTAAACAATTGTTGCAATTTCGGACAGACATCGTTCTTACTCAAACATGGCCACCAATCCATGTATTTTCTTAGTGAGTATTAATCATTCCAAAGTTCCCATCTAGGACTCTAATTAGGGTATTCACAGAGTAGGATAGAGCAGATGGGCAACTGGAATGATTAGAGACTACCATCTATGTATTTTCTCACTCAGTAATAATCATTCCAAAGTTCCCATCTAGGACTCTAGTTAGGGCATTTCTCGAGTAGGATAGAGCAGAAAGGCAACTTTGGAATGATTTGAGACTTAAAGATCCATGTATTATCTCAATCATATATAAATCATTCCAAAGTTCCATTCTAGGACTCCATTTTTCACTTTCTCTTCACAAGATAGAGCAAACGGGCAACTGGAATGATTAAATAATGCTGGAATTTCGGAAACACACTTGAACAATGCCACCAATCCATGAATTTTCTCAGTCAATATTAATCGTTCCAAAGTTCCCATCTAGGACTCTAGTTAATGGATTCATTTAGTAGGACAGAGCAGTAGGGCAACTGGAATGATTAGAGACTGAAACCATTCATGTATTTTCTCAGTCAGAATAGGATAGAGTAGAAAGGCAACCTGAGTTACTAAGCCATCGTTTCAACTTAAACAACATGGCTACAAGCATTTGTGGGTCACTACGGCAGGGACAGATGAGACCACTAATTGAATGAAAAATTGCAGAGTTCAATTTTTTACTTGATCCATCACAATTTGCAGAATTTGAATGAACCAGTTAAATATGAGAAAATATAAGCGGCAACCAGATGGCAACGAAAATAATCGGAGAGCCATATAAGGAATAATACACCACCGACAATATCATATATTGGTAATACTTCAACAAAAAGATAATCACTCACCTGTTATCTCAGCAAGTGTGAGCAGCGCACAGCTCTGGGATTTCCATCCGGATTAAAAAAATACTGGGAAACAGAGACGGGGCCATTTAGAAATTATACCAGAGACGAGATTTATCCACCAAACGACGAAAACGTCAACCAGAACCACCCAACTCAGGTCATAGATCTAGTCAGAAAACCCTTCGTTGCCTCCTAACCTTCTGGTTTAAATGCATCACTTGCCACTTAAGTATTTTGTATGTTGCAGACTAACCACTTAACTTGATTTTGTTGCAATTAAATCATATAAGTAGAATTACAGTTGCACCGTCACAATTTCCATCCAAAGAGTTAACGGAAAGTACCAAAAATGAATTATTGTGCTACCATTTTGGGGGGAAAAATAATTCCTACAATCATTTTGCACAAATACCAAAATTATATGACCAATTTTTATAATTACCCTTCCCATCTCCCCTTTCTTCTCCCTCTTCATATGCTCACCAGTCACCACTACCCTTTTCTATTCAGGAAGGACGAAACTGGAAGAGATTTAAAATTCTAAACTGCATTTTCCCCCTCCACTGAGCTTCAAATTGTGTTTAAAATACCGCCAACAGAACTGAAATAGTGGTCTTAACCCACCACTCTAGTTCGCGAAATTCCGGTTACTGCTCGAATCCATGAGAGCCATACACAAATACTATGTTTTCCTCTCTCTCTGATATCTTATTCCTCTCAGTATGTGAATGAGATATTGGGTTAGCATATCAGCGGCGTCTTTGGAATAACTACCAATTCAATGGATTGAATAAATAATTTGAAGAAGGAAGCAAGGCTATAGAGCCATCCCCAGGCGAAAACTTCAGCACATTTTAATCTATTAATGGGGAAAAAACTTGGTCGAATGTTAATTCAATCCAATAAAAAACCCATAATTTGAACTGTTGAATATGACTCATTTCTAGCAAGAGTAGATTAAGAAGACAGAGGTTAGATTTGAGCTCCGAAAATCTCTGTGAATAACTCACAAATTGGAAGAGGGAGAGAGATGGAGAGTGAGAGTGAGATGTAAAAGGAAGAAAGAAGATAGGAATCTGTAGAGCTTAGCTGGTGTAGAAGGAGAGAGATCAATATGGAGTCTTAAGAGGAAAGGTTTGTCATATTTGGGTTGGCTCTGTTAGCAGAGGGTGGTGACGGGTGAGGTGATGCAGGGAGGAGAAGTAGGAGAGTGGAAGGAAGGCAAACTTATTAAAAAATGGTCATGTAAGTTTGACAATTATGCAAAATAGTTATATAGATTTAACTTTTTTTCAAAATGGTAGTACAATAGTTTCTTTTTGGTACCCTCTGTTAAATTTGTGGATGGAAATAGTGATGTTGCAACCATAATTCTATTAAAATAGTTTAGTTGCAACAATAATTCAACTTATGTGATTTAATTGCAACAAAAACAAGTTAAGTGGTTAGTATGCAACATACATGATACTTAAGTGGTAAGTGGTGCATTTAACCCTAACCTTCTCAAGGTAAATGTGTCTCCAAAAGACTCATAATTCACAAAGTTATACTCCGACGGGGCAAACAGTCTTGGCAGCATCCAAACCATAAACGGCGTGATCAAACGAGAAACCCTAAGCTTAGATTTTGCTATTGTCAAAGAAACCAACCAACAGCCCGTAATATCTTAAAACCGTCAGAATTAGGGCTCAAGAAGCAACTCAATTGCATATTCTAAACTTCTACGCACGCAACTGGTTTTAACGAGATCAAGCAAATTTTGCCTCAAGCGACAGGACGGGTCTCTAGAAAACTGGATAATCATATTCCAAGAGGAGCACAGACAAAACGACAATAAGAAGACGGATGCAACTAATTGATTGTCCCTCACCGATAAACCCACGAAAACCTTTGAGCACCACACCCTGGCAACATCCGCCGCAAACACTAATCGACCGGAGACAGGGTATCAGAGAAGCACCACTACACTCTATTCGCCAGTAAAAACGATCGCAAGGAAAGCAAACCACTGTCGCCCCTTTTGCGGTTATATTTCGTTCTGGATGCAACTCTGAATAGAAGGATCTCAGCAAGCAACAGATGAGACGTTCCAATATATATAGCAATGGCAAATAAGAACGTTGGGAGTCGGTTATATTTGCCGTCCTGCCCAAGTAGCTTAAGTAATACGCATACATTGTGTAACTTTAACGTTCCAAATTGGACGCGTCTCAACTAGCCGACGTTGACCAAGTCTATCCGCGTGTGTCACACGTAACTAAGTAATTGAACCAGCGTGTGTCGCACGGAGTAATTGAACACTAGTTGGGCTTTTAGGTTCACAATAATTGGGCTTTTTAGGTTCAGAAATTTGGGCTTTTCATTCTCTCAGATTAAAAAGGAAATAATTAACGAATTTTCACAAACAAATCCCACCCCAGTCAGCCCAATGTTCGCTTTTGCTTAGGGGTGTCTATTCGGGTTCGGCCTTCGGGTTTACCGAAACCGACCCGATTATATACATTTTCGGTTTTTCAGGTTTCGAGTTTTTCGATTTCGGTTCGGTTTTGCTTATCGATTTTTCGGGTTCCAGTTAAAAACCTCCAATGAATAGAACTCAGCCTGTATTTTTAGGCGTTCGGGTTTCGGTTTTGCTTTAACCGAAACCGAACCCGATAAGGAATTTTCGGGTTTCAGGTAACCAAAACCCGCAAGTCCTTATCGGGTTCGGGTTCCGGTTTCAGTTTTAATGATTTTCTGTTTCGGGTTTTCGGGTTTTGGTGTGGGTAACCGAACCCGACCCGAACTGACACCCCTACTTTTGCTTCCCATTCGGCCATTCTGTGTTCCTCATCTACTTTCATTATTGAGCTCAAGATAACATAAGCTTCTACAAAATATATATAAGAACGAACAAGGCTTGATTAAAAAGTAGGGTTAATACCCTAGTTTGGCCCGCAGTTTAGCGTAAATGACAGTTCTGGCCCCATTTTTCAAATAAGACTTTTATGGCCTACTTTTGAAACTATTTGACAAATTTGGCCCGACGTTTAAGTTGACCGTCAATATTGACGGTCAAACATTTTTTTCATCCATGACTCAGCATTTAGTGATAAGGTGGCTATAAGATGAATTCCACGTCACTATGCTGGAAAAAATTCACAATAAATTTAAGGAATAAAAACAATAAAACATAAATATGAAAAAAATATAAAAAAAATCGTGAACCACAAAAATAACAATCCTATCTTCTTCTCTCATCCCACCTTCACCTTGAACCCAGTCCCTCATCCCCAGTTCTCTCGACAAACTCTACCCAACCCCAATCAAGCTAAGCAAACTGTCATTCCTTCAACGGCGACCATCGACTGTTAAGCCGCCGACGAGAGAGGAGAAGACACCTTACCCTAACGAACTAGGGAAGAGGAATTCGTCGGCCGCCGCTGTCTTCGTCACCAACAACCCCCAGCAACTTACTGGCAGAGTTCAGATCTATACTCCTGTCGCCGCCTCACCGCAAGTCCTCACTCCTCGGGGAGGGAGCTGGAAGGAGAGAGAAAGAATTGGTGGTCGTGTTGGCTCCAGCAGTTGGCGGTCACCGATTTGAAACAGGGGAAGAGGGAATTCGAAACGGTGGGAAGCTGGCGGCTGGGATTTTGAGCTGTGTGACTTGAAACAGATCGATCTAGGGAACCGAACTTGCAAGGAATACGAGGGAAGCAACCCGGAAGTAATGCTGGGTTGGTTGACGATGTACATCTCCGACGACCCCCAAATCAAACATCTCCGGGAGAAGTACGCAGGCGAGGAGATAAGCATAATTTTGAAGGACAGCCTGGCCGCTTGTTTGGCAATCATGTCCGTCTTCGATCTCGTTGAAAACATCATCGTAATTTGGATACCCCCCGGCCACCTTGTAGCTAGGTATCATCGATGGGGAAAGATGAATTTGCAGGGGGAAGATGAAGTTTCTGGGCGAAAGGTGGGGGTAGTGGACGCCGGGTTATTTTAGTTTGTATTTGTTATGATTTAATTTTTCATTTTTCTAAGTATAAATAAATGATATGGAAGCCACATCACTACCACCTCATCACTAAATAATGAGTCACTGACGGAATAAATGTTTGACCGTTAATATTAACGGTCAACATAGATTTCAAGCCAAATCTGTCAATTAATTTCAAAAACTGGCCATAACTGTCTTATTTGAAAACTCAGACCAAAACTATCATTTACGTTAAACTTCGGGCCAAACTAGGGTATTAACCCTAAAAAGTACTACAAAATGTAATCTTTTATCATATAGAAATAGAAGAACAACAAATGTCTTAATTGATACAAAAACAGCAATTTCCAAATTATATTTTTTGAACAATACAAATAAGTAAGCTATGCCCTAGGACACAAAAAAATAAGCACAACGTCAACTAGAAGTCTAGAACTGCAAAAAATTTCTTTACCACGCTATATTTGGTTGTAATGTCAATAAAAACCCGCAATACCATCCAAAAAAGAGAGAGAAAAGCAGACAAAAAAACATAGGAACAAAACACTAGAATAGAGGGGTAAATTGCAGTAAAGAGTAAACCACACAAGACTTTGTTCCTTGCATCCGATATCTATACGAACTAATTTGGTTTCCGATGCAAATTAAGCAAGTAAGAGGTCGGATGTATCCTGGAAGATACCACAAATACCAATTTGTCATCCCACTAGCAATCGCACAGCCAAGCAAATTCAGAGTAACTAAAAAAAATCTTTTTCAAAACCTTGCTATTACACGCCATGATAAAGCTTCGAGACAAGAACGCAGTTCTCATTCCACTCATCTATGTTTGCTGTTACTATGAACCTTATCGCCTCATTCTCAAGCCTCACAAAACAAGAGCCTATGCCGAGACCAACCTTCAGGTTTTCCTATATCCAGAACAAAGGGTTGGTCCCGCAATCTATTTACAGGACATCGTGTTCCTAGAAAGCCGCCTTTACAAAAATGGCTCAACCCTGAAAAATGGACAATCATCCGATGCAACCCATCAATAATCCCTCACTCCAAAACCAATTCACCCGAAAAGAATTGCATCCACGCCAAAAAAAAATTCGCCAAAACCAACTCTCAGAAGTATCATATCACCTAGTGCCACAAACAAATGCAACCATTAGAATCGTCTGGTTTAAAAACCATAACCGAACTACAGAATACAGGAATATTATCCTGCTGTCATTGGAATAAACGCTTACCTATCCAAGAATAGTGGAATGAATGTTAGGACCAACGAGCAAGAATAGTTGCTTCAGTCGAGAAGGGCATAGTATCAGCACTTGGTTATGGCATCTTCAGAGCCTGCTTCAATTGAGCAAACGCAGAGGGATGCATTCTACTAATAGCTGCATTGAAGGCTTCCCCGTGTACTGCACCACATGTTTTAAGGTTCTCTCGCACTAGATTCTCTAATGACAACTGGTTGATGGGGTCTGAAAACTTAATCTGAAACAGAGGACACACAAATTAAGCTTTGAGCAGTTTAGCAGATTAAATTTCTATTGGGTGCACTTACCTGTCTCTTTCGGAGTTCTTTACTCACAATAGTACCATCTTCGTGAGATCTGCTGGAACTCATATTATCGCTACTGTGGTCCATAAATAAATACAAGTTGTATATCAGCTTTTGACTAACTGGATTATATCCAATTTAACAAAGTTACTAAAGAGTATAACCTGGAATCTTCGTCGGCCGATTCATCAGTAACTCCCAGTATAATGCTTGTGCACACACTACGAAAATTCAAGCCCACGGTAATTAGATGCAAAGGTGGATAATCAATCATCATTCATCTATTGACACAATACACCAAGTAGAGAATGCACACCTGAGGATAAGATCAAGCTTATCAAGGACCTGCGGCAGCCTTAGAGTCAAAATTATTGAAAGGGCAAGGCCGAGTGTTTTTCTTTGATTGGAAGATGTGTTGTCAACCTGACAGTCAGAGTGATGATAGAGAGAGATTAAAGACCAAGTAGTAATGAGTAACTACAGAAGTGAGCATTGCCAGAGTTGATGCTGAATCATCCACAACAGTTGGAAATGCCATATAATTGAATTAACATTAAATAAGAGTGCCTGAGTTGAGAATTTATGAAAACAAATAATTTAGAGAGAAAAAACTCCGACATAAATAACAGTGCCATATATTAGTAAAACAAAAAATGATTCAACAGACACACTCAGGAGTACTTACCTTGTCAAGCCAAATGTCAACAAGTGATAAAAGTATATTGTCCTCAACTGGTATGCCTGCTTGCTGGAGGAGTGATGTAAGTGATGGTTCTGCCGTCAACTGGGCAAGATAGTTGGTGTTCATTACCAATATTCTAGCTAAGATTGCAGATGAAGATGCTTTAACTGCTGTTTTGGAAGGATCATAGTCGTCTCCCCCACTCAAACAGATCACGATAAGTTTCTACAACAAGGGGGGAAATAGTTAAATCGGATTCTGAAAAGCAGAATATGTGCTCACACTAGCTAGATGAAACTAATTTATAGCAAATCCATTTATGTATAAGAGATGCCCCTACTTGTAAGGTACTGTTGATAAGTGGAGGCACTTCCAAGGGGAAACACTGCAGATCAACAAATGAACTAGTCAAACAAACAGTTGAAACTAGACAACACCTCAACAATGCTGTCTTCCTAAGTAACCGAGAGAAAAGAGCTTGTGCTTAACTATGGGGAGTTAGGAAGACTACCTGGATTAACATATCAATCACAGGAAGAATAGAACGCATCCCTCTGTTGTTGACATTTCCAACTATCAGATCAAGAAGTTTTGCAACAGCAGCAGCATGCATGTTCAGAAATTCTGTTCCACCTAATATCACATAATCCTCAATGATATTTACAGCCACCTGCCATCATGTTTCCACAAAAACCTGAACTCATATAATTTTATGCAAATGGTGTCTGATAGATATGCAAGTAATATGCATTGAATGTCAAGATCGAGCAGGAGATAGAAGTGAAAAGATAAGAGAGTAACATTATACGTGAACAGATACAAGGAATACAAAACAACAATAGTATTACAACTAGTTGTTCACATTTTACAAGCGGCACAAACTGACCTCCAAGTGATCAAAACTTCTTTCCAGGATATCCACTAAATAAGGGAAATATGTTAACAGTTGAGGTACCATTCCAGGAGCATGAGAAAGTGTTGCTTCCCACAACTGCGAAAGTAGGTCAACCAATGTTTTATTACCAGCCAGACAAAAGTAGTATATATTGGATTATTCAGAATAAGAAACAGAAAGGTCAAGACTCACCAGCATACTGTCCTCCAGGAGTTCATCTGGGCTATTTATATCAAGTCCTCTTTGCAAAATAGGTAGAAGTATGCTGTAGCAATTTGGTGATTGATAACCCAGTGCAACCAGAAAATTCCTCAGAGCAACGAGAAGCTGCATTTGCAGTAGACTCTCACCAGAAGATTCTACCCAAACCTTCAGCGCAAATTGAGTAAAAATTAGCATCCAAAAGAAAAGTTGAGAGTAAGATTAACTTATTAAAATAAAGATTCTGATTACAAAGTTCAGTGAAGCATCATACAACATTTAACCAAAAACTGCTTTCTCAACTCACACCTAAACATGACTTCTCGTGAGCATATGAATCAGAACTGAAAGACAGTAGACCACTAAATAGATGAGCCAACTTTCTCTGAAGTCATTCAATTCACTAGCTAAATAATTCCTACTGCATACCTTCTGAAAAAACTGCACCAACTGGTTTGCATACGGAATGATTTCAATGACATGTGCAATGAGAATGGAGATCAGATTCAAAACCTGAACCTGAAATAATAGGAGAAGAACCAAGTCAAATACTGTCAGTAGCAAAAGGCTAATATGAATTTAATAAAAGCATGTAATAGTCCAAAGTCGTTATTCCAAAGTTGCGATCATCTAAGCAATAATGAAAGCACCAGTAAGAGGACCAGGAATTCGCTTCTTACAAAAATTGCAAAAGGAACCAATAAACAGGATTATGAAATCTTGAATTATTATTTTTGGTAGAAGTCTTATTGAAATTTTTAATGCAAGCAGAACAAAATTAACCTTAAAAATCTAACAAATCAAAATTCCACAAAACTAAAAATCTTGCATTCAATTAGCCACACATTTGCCATAATGAAGTATGCTTACACAAAAGGATGAATAGTTTACACAAAATCACATATGTAGTTTTGATCAGCTGGACAAGCCAAAGGAGCCATTTCGCATGGCAAAACACGGATATGCACGTTAGAAGAAGCATTTTACCTTCGAGTCTAATTCTTGAACCTCAGCAAACAACTTAAAACAGGAGTCCCAGCAAACAGGAAGGAGATCCAGATATTCATGCTCAGAGAAGTTGGCATCTTCGATATGTGAACACAAAGACCGACAAGCTGCTAGCTAAATCCATGAATGAAGAAATCAGTATCAAGCAGCATCCAAGCAATACAAGAAAGCTGGAAAGAACTGTTCCAGCATTCAATTACAGGGGTGTAGAGTAGATGGATATCACAAAGATATGGAGAATCATACTTTGACCGACAGGTCTTTGGCTTGCAGCAATCTGATTAATCCACAATACACAGGTCGTTTTGTGTCATCCTTAATCTGCAAGTAAGTGGGAAGACATCAGCGCATCAAAGTACTAACACGAATTCATCAACGTTTTTCACATTTCTAAGCTATATGACTTTTCCAACATGTTGGTACAACCTTTGTAGCATAAGGTTGTAAATTCCTCCAATGCTAACCAGAAACATATCTATATAGTAGATTTCAAAAGTATCAACTTGTCCCTTCAGTTCAACTGCTGTACCAAGGTCGCATGTGATAATATTCAAAGGGGATAATGTTCATGCAAAAAAATCCACATGATACACGGATGCACCATATGCATAAGATAAGAGACATATCACTTTTTAATGCTTCTAAGGAGAGAACAGCTACAGGTGTGCAGATGAACAGTAGCTACCTCAGAAACCCATTGTCCCAGTACCAGGGCAATCTTGCGGTGGATGATAAGCATATTATGATGATCATTAGACAGTTCAACAGACAAGGCACCATTAAACCTGCGATCATCGATTTCAGGTTAGAGAATAAAATTTCTTTCAACTTTCAAAAGAAGATGTGCACTCAAACATGTGCAGTGACAAGAATAGTTGGAAATAGGACAAAAGCATTTCATGGCTTCAGTAAAAGGAAACTAAAATTCTTCACTTCATCCAGCTGAACTCCGAGTAGAGTCCCAGCACTCATATCCGAGTTGATCCTGTTAGAGTCCTATTCAGCAATCGGAATCCTCAATGACAGTCCAATTGCAATCAAGCTGTTACAATCTACATATATTGAAGTTCTCTCCTCAACGCATTTTTCAGGAATATTTCTCAGTTGCAAGATGAGACTGCTAAATGAATAGTGGACGCATCACTAATTAGACACAAGTTACACCAAACGATGGAACAAGTAAGAAACTGTACACAGAGTGGTCCAAGAGGGAAGCGTGCATGACAATGAGAGGCAAGGATTTACCAATCTTTAAAGCTTAGGTAGTTTGAAAGCTCATAGTACACATATGCAGCAGCCCCATAAGCAGCCTCTTTCAAAAGCAAGCCTGGTGTGATCTCTATAGCCGATGCAGGGCAACCACTCATGGCTTCCTTAAGGATGGAAACCACAACTGGAGCCAAAAGCTACAAGTACCAGCAAGATCACATAAGCTTACATTTCCTACTCCGATACTCTGAATTATTAATTAACAGTTCTACACGATCCATTTACCTGGCTATAGTTTTCAAACAGTACAATGTACAGAGCTTCGGCACAGGGCCTTAGTTTCTCAGTCCACTGAACCATGTCCTGCTCATGATGAAAAGATTCTGGATTCTCAGACCATTCTTCCAGGTCACTTGCTGTTAGAACAAAATACCTGTTATAACAGCATCAGCAAATGATTAGATATCCGAAAGGGTAAGAAGGGACAAACTTGAATAAATTGTATAAAAGCACGCTCAAACAAATTCTTTACAGAAAACCAAGTGAAGTAACTACCATGATTACTAAAACCCGACAGCAAGGACTGTAAGAATCAGACCACTGATAGTTCTTTCATAATCATAAAAAGAAAATAACTATCAAGCCAGCAACATTTCTCAAGCAACAAAATGAAGGTATGACAATAACTAAGTAGAGCCCTATAAGCAATGCATCACCAAACATTCTGTTTTTCCATTAAAGTTCAATAGGTTACTCTCACGTCACATGTCAAAGAGCCAAGACATCTCAAACTTGCAGCCTAAACATACATGAATAGTTACTGTAGAACCTGTGTGGTAGGTCCTAATATATACATAATGGCTAACTCTAGACAGCTATGCATTTCACTGTCTTCAATTAAAGAATAGATATAAATCAAGAAGAAGTTTATTTGAGAAATGGCATTAAAAAAAGTTACAGAACTCATGTAAGAAATTATGACACTATCACAGCAAGAGTGTGAAATATGAGAACGGCCATTCAAGTAGTATGGAGCTTAAATAGGTCAATTGGCTCCCTTCAAAAAGCAAAAGACATTTTGATTGACTCAATCACGGTGGAACAGAGCACAAAATGCAACTTGGATTCAAGTATATTGTATTTGGAGGGTATTTTAAGGAAACTAGTGAAGTAAGAAGCAGGGCATAGAATCATTACCTTCTTATCAACACATTGCACAAGAGTATTATGCGTTCATTTGGAAGAAGCGAAGTGAGAACACCACCGACTACATTAGACATATTTTTCTTCGTCTGCTCTAGTGTAATGACACTTTCATCCATTACACGGCCAGTAAGACTCGGCTTATATTCTTTACATTCAAGCACACGCTTCACCATTACCATACATTGAATCAGAAATTGCTCAAAGGACAAGAGCTCCGGATCAGGCTCAGTTATCTTGTTTAAACAGAAATCCAAAACCGGTGGAAGGACAGATTTATCACTAAATGTATAAGGATGCCGATTCTGAATCATAACCAAGACCTTCATCAATTTAGTACATGCTCGCTTCACAAAATCCAAAAAATTTCCACGTCCCTTCAGGAAAGATGAATCTGAAGAAGAATACAGCAAAAGCAATAATTTAATTTGTTTCAATTAACATAAAATAAAGTGCGGTAGGTTTAACAACATTGTCCTGCGGGAACTAAATTTTGAAGAATGTTTTGATGAGGGAGAACGGACATTTGTGGAATCATATTGAAAAATAGATAACGAATTGCTCAAGAACTAGAAGGATATTATATAGGACCATCTTGAATTTGGAAATAGCTAAATTCTCATTTGTTGTCTTTTATCTTTGTTTTCTTGAGAAAGAACAGGTTATTACAAGCCAGATGAAATATAAATAAACTTGACCTATAAAGAAAAGTGTATCAATAAACTCAGGTTCTTACAATATGGAAGCAATGATTGAATTGCATTCAAGAGCACAGGCGAGACCTCCTTTACAGGTCTGACCTCCTGAAAAAACACAACTGAGAACATGTAGGTAACTTTTCGTACATCACATAAAATCTGAGAATGGTGGCAAAAAATGATTTAAGTTTAGACCAAAAACAAGTTGACAAAAGAATGATAAGAAGATACCTGTACCGCCTTTGCATCACTTGGAAACCCTGATAATATCAACTGCCGTATGACCTTTAAACAAAACAGCCATCTCTCACTGATCAGATAAAGTTCATCTTGACGCTGCTCAAGAGCATTTGGATCAAAGTTTTGAGCGAGGGCCGAGAAACCATGTAGTATAGTCCTGACGTCACTTTGCCAAAGATGCCAGCAATAGTCAAAGAAATGGGCTGTTATCTGCAAGAATAATGGATACCAGAATCTGAAGATAACTAGTCGGGGCTGTATGATAGCTTTACTTTAATTCTGCGTAGCTCTTCCTAGTTGATAATAGAATCTGAAGAAGAATTCCTAATGGATGTATAGTTTACCTCAGCGTAATTCTTTTGATCAGCAGATAGACGTTTCGTCGACAACTCCTTCAAAGTCCGGAAGAGAATCATAAAAATGCGGTGCGAAGTGAGAACATCAGCTGATTGAAGCTGGTTCGCCAAAGTAGAAAAGAACTCTGGCCTAATGACTCATTAAGTTAGTATATCAGTACATTCGTAAACCTAATAGCATTAACAGAACAATACACTTCAGCTGAGAATAAAGGGAATATCATCACAAAAAAGAAGTTACAAACGCCATAAAAAGAATTACACATTGGACATACAGTTATTTCCGGTAACTTTCTCATCACTGCAATGTACATACCAATATTATATCTATTACGGGAAAGGGAGGGAGCGCAGGAGGACATACAGCTGAATTGAATTGCTACAATATCCAAATTAATAAAATTCTGATGCAAACAATATTCCACAGGAAAGATGCTACAAGGTCCACAATAATGAAATTCTGATGCAACATCATTTGGCATGGCAAGAATTTTTTCTAACACTTCACTCTAACTCGCAGCTCAAAAATTTCAAGATTGTAAGATGATGGAAGGTAAATTCGAAAACAACATCCAACATCTCAAGGACTGTCTTAAGAGATAGTTGAGACATGATCTTCATTCCATTTACTACACTTATTATCATGCTTTAGGACATGAAGTCCCAATTACAGCATGTTGCATCCAGTTCATCGAAACCTTCATCCAAGCTCTGGTATCCAATTGAGCTAAAGCAACAAAGAGAGGAAGCAGAATTCAGGGGGGGAAATCTTACCAATCCTTGGGATAGTCAATGCGAGCAATTTTTGAAATAAGCACAGCCAACATCATAGCTATCTGTGTTCACAGTAAATCACATCATGATCGACTTGAGACTATAACTGAATAAATTTCTCCGAAGAAGTAAGGTGAAATGCCTTATTAACAGGTTGACACAAACCTTATAGTCTTCCTCTCTCAAATGTGACAAGAGCTTCTGCCTCAAGTGAGTTTTCTCTTCAATGCTTATTCCCCTGAACAGCAATCAAAAACCATTCATGAGCCACATAGACAGGAGAGCAACATATGCAGTGCATTTGCTTATGTAGGAGCGACCGACGAGAACATGCAATCGATAAGCATCATAGGCATAACAATCGAGCAAGCAAGCTTCAAAGCTAACGAGTGAACTTACGAATCACGCCTGCTTCTCCAGTAACGATTGATGCTATTTTTGAAATAAACTGTAGCCATCAACCGAACGTCAACCTGCGACACTAAATCCTTTGCGGTAATCACTTCCTACAGCCAAACAATCAAAATTCATTAGCCAAAAACGACGGTAACTTGCTGGCATTACCTCCAAAAACTAACTCGGAAACCCTAGAAATGGACAACAAACAAAGAGAGACAGGCAACAGAACGAGTACCATCAAACACGAGCAGAATCCAGGCCGGTTCTCGGACTGAGAGAGCGCCGCCTCCGCTGGCTTCCGCACGCTCTCGTCTCCGCTCATTGAATTCGCCAGCAGCGAATATATCGCAGGCAAATCAGCAGACGACAGCGCCATGGATAATAGTGTGCTCAGCTCACCACGATAGCTGTCGCCGTCAAACACACGCTAAAAACTTACTGAGCTGCAGATCAAGAGAGCAGCGAGTCGGCGCAAAGATTTCACCGCCGAGCAAGACAGCAGCAGATTGTTTTCTGGTCAAGGTATCCGTCGGGCGTTTCTTTATCCCTTCCGCCGGCGCCGGATTAAATGCAAACTCGCTACTGCCGCGAAGAAGCTCAGGGAAGCGTGGGAAATCGGAACGGAAGAAAAATGAAGCCGGAAAGAGAGGTGAGGCAAAGAAGAGACGGTAGGGCGCTAGCTAGTCTGTCTTTTTTTTCGCCGCGGCAATAATATTGCGCTGGTGGTGGCTCCTTTCTTTACTAAATAAGAGTGAGTAGTGTGCAATCCAATGTAAGCGAGTACAGAACTGGTTGGCTGGGTCTGGTTACTGGTTAGTACGCATTCGTTCATTTCGTTGGCCTCGCGATTTTCTTTCTACTACCAATTTTAATTCGCTTCAATTTTCGCCAAATTTTACAGGCCAAATTGGGCCTAGGGGCCGTAGAGGCCATTATATAATGTCCTTAACCTCACCATTAGTCCAACACAATAATCCATCCAATTAATCAATCAACCATATCCGAACCGAGTTTATACAATAAATAAAAGCCAAATAAGAAAACTTGAAGTCTCATTTTCAAATTTCCTGCATTAGGATTCGAACTATGGCCACTTTAAAGAAAAGCAAAGATCATAATCAATCACACAGTCACACTAAATACATTTGTTGTATTTTTTTTCAATTAAAAACATATAATCGCAGAGAGGAAAAAACTCTTCCCCCATTTCAAACTCATTGTTCCAGGAGCGTTTGTATGAAGGGTAGAATAGGGAGTGTCAATTTTTTTCTTTTTCCTCTGTGGAACGGGTCAACTTACCGTACACATGCGGATTTAAACGGGTCCAGGAGTGTCAATTTTTTTCTTTAAGTCCTTTTATTTCTCTGTGGTGGTAAAATATATATGAAAAGGCAAAAATAATACTCCTTTTTATTGCTAAAAGAAAAAAAAATTAACAATAAACTAATGCATGGATTCTAATGGGCTAACCGCTAATCATCATAAAATAAAAGAGTTGAATAGGCCTGACCTACACGGAATTTGCCCATCAAGTAAAACAAATGAACATCATGGGTTTGTCATTCTAAAACAAGCATAATATATATTATGCTATTATTTTATATCTTAGTGGCTAAAATATAATGCATTTTAAAGTTATTCAATGGTTCAACCTCGACCAACCCAATTAGTCCAATTTTTATCATTTCAAATATATATTATGTAATTATTTAATATCATGATGATTAAATTATAGTGTATATTATAGGGAATCGTTTTGGTATTTGTTAGTAAAAAACTAAACAGAAAATTCTATTTGGTTATTTTTAACATTAAAACGATCCTAAATATTTTCAATTTTCTTTCGAAATTCTATAGTTTTATTCCCGAATCAGTGATGTGCAAATGACGAATTGCAGTCATCTCTTTTCTTTCATTATTTTTTATTTTCAAATAGAACGTTTAATAGTAAAGAATCATTAGAGTTTGGCATGGGTCGGTCAAACAGGCTGAATTTCAAGTTTTGGTCTGTTTTGATCAAGTCTAATTTATAATCACATGGTTCCCTGATACCCGATAAAAATTTCAATCCAAACCAGTTTGGCAGGTGAGTCCGTGTTTACCACCATTTTCTAGGGATACAGGAACGGTGGTTCTTATCCCAAATCGTGTTGTTCATTCTTGATTTCTGTATATTTTATCATGGCTTGGCAAAAAACCAGAAAGCACAATGATGACAAGGTGAAAGTTTTATAAAGCAAATTAATCGGCCAATGGGCCAAGTAAAAGCTAGCAACGATTGTGAGATGCTCATTTCCCGAAAACCGGCGGGATAGGCGATTTTTTATTCGATTTTCTGGAATTCGATTTCTATAGAACTTACTCCACCTCATCATATTACCAGAAACAATATTGTTTCACAAGGTAACAAGGGGATGGGATACGGTAACAACCCCTAAAGGGTTGTGAGATTGACAACCAAGGGTATTTTGGGTATGACAAAAAAAACGAATTTGTTAATTAATTTTTTATTAACTACAGATTGGGAATTAAAAACCCATATTAAATACATGTTTTTTAAAATTTTGAATCCTACAATAAATACAACTCTCTCTTCTTATCTCTCTCTTTCTATCTCTCTCTTCCTTTTCAAGCAGCCACTCCACTCCGACCAGCAGACTTTCTTTGGCAAGATCCTTGAATACGACTCGCTCTGGCCACCTGTAAACAATTAAAACTCTGTCAGTACGTTAGTGGTACTTACCACTACCACTGGTACCACTATCATCTGGTACCGGGTAGTGGTAGTGTACCACTGCCTTCTGATACTTAGTAGTGGTAGCGTACCACTATCATTTGGTACCAATACCATATGGTACCTGGTAGTGGTATCGTACCACTACCAGGTACCATATGGTATTGGTACCAAATGATAGTGTCGTACCACTACCAGGTACCATATGGTATTGGTACCAAATGATAGTGATAGCATACCACTACCAGCTACCACTCCATATAGTACCACTACCAGTAAAAAACCAGTACCACTACCACTAGAAAATAAGTACCACTAGAAAAAAACCAGATCTGAAAATCCAAAAATCATGGATATGAAAAACGAAGAGGAGGAGAGGAGAGGAGGCACAAAGAGGCAGAGGGACTCACACCGGAAGAGGTAAGGAGAGGAGGCTAGTGGCAGGGGTAATCGATGACCTCGCGGTAGAGACCTCGTGGCAGGGGCGGAGAGCGCGCGAGACGGCAGCGACAAGGGCGGAGGCAACGGTGTGAAGAGCCAAGGGGCAGCCGACAGGGGCGGAGGTGCTGCGGGACTGTTGTGGATGCGACGACGGGAATAGGTGTCGGTGGGAGGAGGGCAGTAGGAGGAAGGTGGCGGCGGCGGCGAGAGGAAGGCGGCGGCGGGAGAAAGGCAACGACGGTAGGAGGAGTTGACGAGATGGGAGGAAGAAGAAGAGGAGGAAGAAGAAAGAAGGAAGAACAGGCGTTGGTGGCGGCCGCAGAGAGAGGGAGAATGATATGGAAATTCTAATTAGGGTTTTTAGAGAGAGGAGAAGAATATTGAATTTAATATGGGTTGTAATCCCATGTGGTCATATTTTTTCGTCCAAAAATACCCTTGTACCAATCTCATCCATCAATTTAAAAAAACATGAAAGAGAATGAATCTAATGGTGGATAAAGTGGGTTGTGAAAATAACAACCCTAAAAAGGGTTGTCACCGTATCTCATCCCGGTAACAAGTACTTGGTTTTGGTTCATAAGGCTGATTTTTGATTCGTTGCATCATTCATGTCTCTTTCCTACTAAAATTCACTATTTTTATCACGTGTTTCCCAAGAAAATATACAACAATAAGCTATACACCCCATTACATTATCAAATTTCATACCTCACCTTCCTCCGACCAAATGGCCGGGGCCCATGCTAGTTAGCTATATATATGGGGTGGGATACGGTCACAACCCCTTTTCACAACCCATTTTCTAGCCATTGTACTCTCTCTCCTGTCTCTTTCTTCTTTTTTTTCAAATCGATGGTCAGGATTAAAAGAATGATATTTTTGGAATGGCAAAATGTTACCACACCCAATTATTCTCCCTCCCATATAAAGAAAGAAAAAACATAACTCCTCCCTAATCCTGTCCTCCCTCTCTCCCTCCTCCATCTCTCCATCAGACATGACTGATGTCGGCCTCTACTGCTGCCGCCAGTCTCCACTGCAGTCGCGGGCCTCCGCCTCCCTCCACAACCGTCGCTGGTCTCCGCCGACCACCGCAGCTGTAGCCTCTACAATCCTCCGCCGCCCTCAACCCTTGTCGTTGCCTCATCTCTTCGTTTTCCAGATCTCTTCTTCGTGTGAGTCCCTCTGCCTCTCCGTGCCTCATCTCTTCTCCCCCCTTCATTTTTCATATATGAGGTTTTTGGATTTTCATATCTGCTTTTTGTCTAGTGGTAGTGGTACTATAAGAGTTGTATTTATTATAGGTTTAAAAAATATGTATTTAATATGAGTTTTTAATTTCCAATTTATAATTAATACAAAAAATTAATTAAATTTATTTTTATGTCATACCAAAATACCATTGGTTGTGAATCTCACAACCCCGTTAAGGGAAGTGACCGGATCCTGACCCATATATATGTAAAAGCACCAAATCAGTTACAACAAGGATTTGGTTCATTTTTTTTATGGCTTTGACTCAAAATAGTTAGACTTTAAACCAAATGAACTACCTGGTTTTACTTGTCCTATCCACCAGAAATTTAAGAGAAACACATAGTTTAACTGAAACTAAGACCAACCAATTTGAATTGATAAATTTGTTTATGTCAACAGTTATGAGTTATCCCACTGTTCTATATCGGTTGATAAATTCAGTCATAAATTTGGTATTATATATGTCTTTTATGTTGTGATGCATGAACGATTCTTCAATCGGTTAACCAACAGTACTGTGACATATAATCGCTGAATCATAAACCACTGCTTCATTTGGTTCAACTTTCGATCCAATTATGAAAATAGGGCAATCAACATCCAAACCTTAGGTCCAATACTAAAGTGTCGTTGTTTATGATTGGTCCACGTGGCAGACCATGTGGGTTTTAATTGTGTTCCTCTAAATTCACCCCAAATTTGTAGCCTATCAACCGACCAAGCCTTTGCAACCACCCAACTCACTAAGGAATCCTTTATTCTAATTAATCATTTTCTTCTTTTACTCGGATCATATCATCTTTTCCATCCAGACTGTTTTTCATAAGTCTGCAGACAATCGTATGCATCTCGCTATTGGACTTCAACATCTTGGAATTGGCAACATGTACTTGGCCGAATAACGATTCAAGATGGTTTACACTTGATTCATCACTTTGACCTCCATGACGTCATAGTGGAGGATGATTGTGAAGTCATCATCCGCCAACTACTCATAGAGATAGAGACAGATTCATATGAATGGCCAATGCTCAGAGACTGTCGTCAGATAATTGCTGCTCTAAACATAGGCTTAGAGGTTTGTGCGGTCTCTAGGATCGCCAATCATGTTGTCCATAGTGTGGCAAGAAAAACCATTTCTCTGTCTAGTTTAGAGTTGTCGAGGTATGCTTTCCTACTTGATAATGGCTTCTTAGGTCCATTTAATTATACATAGACGACATTTGCGTGTTGCCTTACACCATCGACATCTAGGTGTCGCCTTT